GGAACCACTGAGCTAAATCCCCAGCCCCAGGGAAAGGTTTTTAAAGAAACTTATATCCATTGGCATATCACTTGGTCTTTTTTGTCCTTGTGTTTTTCCTTCCTGGAATAAGGATGTGATTTCTGGAAGCTTAATAACCATCTTGCAATCATACTCTAAGGATGGAAGAACAAAAACAATAGAAGGTACTTAATCTTGGAAGACATTGTTCAATCTACCCTAACCCTGAAACGCATTTCTCTAGACATTATGTTATTTGAGACTAACAGCGCTTTTGTTTGTTTAAGATCATCCAAATAGACTTTCTGCTGCTTGCTGCTGTATGCCTTCTATACTGAGGGAAGCAGAAAAAGCAAGGTCAAAAGTTGATGGTTGTGGATAGTACAAGGAGGATTCATAATGCTATTGTCTAGTTTATTTCTGAAATTTTCCATAATAAAATTTTTCCATAACAAAAATTTTAAAAGAAGTGGCATTATACTATTCTCTTTATTTTTATTTTTAAAATTTTCCATAATAAAATGTTTGAAAGACTGTGGAAATTTAAAAAATATATGTTATTCTTCCAAATATGATTTCCAAAAATATTTGCAAGACATAACCAGATTGTTATTGTCTTGTGATATTAAGACTTTTAAATTTCTAAATAATTCTGATTTTGATTGGTTGTCTCAATAACTCCTTAGAGAGGTGATGATATTTAAATTGACACCTCTGTTTTGAGGAGAGGTACAAATGCCTATGAATTCTCGTTTAACCAGGAAGGGATCATGGGAATGGCATCTTCCTCCATGTATATAAAACTACTTTGCTGGATTTCCTATTTAAACAAAGAGTTTGAGAGTTTTATCTCACTAAGGTTAATAAACAGTTTGGAAGCTAAGAGCAGAGGTTGATGATCCCATACTGAGCTCAAAGATGAGCCAACCAAATGCAGGTAAAATTAACCTGCATGATTGGACATTTCTCAGGCCCCACCTCACACCCTGTCTGTCCAGTTTTGATTCCAGCCATTGTCACAGAAACCAGATTTGTGTGGGTGTAGCTCATGGTGCTGTTCTTCAGCTGCAGGGCTTCTCTGAAGCCTCAGTGGGAAATGCTTATGGGGGTTCAAGGTGCTCATGCACAGGATCCCTGAATGTGGGGAGAATGAACACACAAAAGGCCAACACATGACTAACTGGGGATGGGAAACAGTAGACCAGTCTCCCCACTTCCATCCTCCAAGTGAAAAAATCTGAAGTGCACTCTGAGTGGCACTTCAGGAGGTCCTGTGAGATGAAAACAACTCATGAGTCCAGCCTTGCACTGGCTCCCCTCCTTCTCCAGGTCCCAGTTCTTCAAGTGACCGACTCTTCGAAGTTTAGCTTGGACTTCAATTAAAACACTGAAAGTCTCATATCTTAGGAACCCCTCCATTTCCAGCAAATGGTGGCATCAGGGTCTGTTTTTTGGAAAGGGAACCCAGGTGATGATAGTCAGTCTACTTGGGTCCCAAACAGAGCACCTGCCTATCTTCAAGATGTTCTTAACCAGCTCAAAATAAAAGCATCAAGGAGCAGCTGGCTAAGCTCATCTACGTGAAACTAGGAAGTGAAAACTGCAGTTGCTGCTTCCTCCTGTCATGGATGATTGTCTTGAGGCTTTTGCCAGGTGTTCTTGGGTTTGAGTTCAGACCACGGAGGTCTTATCTCCAAGCCCACCAGAAGCCAGAGCAGACTGGAAGAGCTTTGTATTTCTTTTTCTTGGAATGAATGGTCCTAGTTTTGGGGCTGGAGTTTTATCTGATTCAAAGCTAGAAGTTTAAATTTTTTTTTTTTTTTGGTACCAGGGATTGAACTCAGGACCTTGCGACTTCGAGGCAGGCAGCAGCACCACTGAGCTAAATCCCTGGCCCCTAAAAATTAATTAATTAATAATTAATTAATTAAGTTTTGGAGTTTTTCTTTCTGTTCTGATTATGGCCCAGTTAAGTGAATTTTCTCTAGAGGCTCCAAGAGGCAAAACTCTGGACCAGGGAAGTGCGTTCTTCACCAGGAACAGGGAATTCACGCCCCCTGGAGGATAAATATGTATATGTCAGTTCAGGGAGGCTTGAGATTCAAAATTTCTTTTTTCTTTTCCTCGGGAAAAATGCCACTGTTCAATCATCAGCTAGTTTAATAATGTGATGATTTCTTCTGTTGTTTAAGTGAGAGACTCTCCCTTCATACCATAAAAGCCCAGCTGCATTAGGTTTGAATTGGTTTGAACTGAAGGACTAGCAGGGGGAAATCCAAGGAGATTCTGGACCTCAATAGGTATCTGAGTGTGCTTCTTTGGGAAAGATTGGTCTGGATAGTCCATAAATGACAGAGAAATTAGACTTGATATCAAAGATTCTTTGGAATTAATTAGACCCCCTCTGTAGGTTTGTAGAAAATATAGCTATGATGCCTCTCAACCTCTGTGGATTTCTTATTTTTATTGGTTTCAAGAGACCACGGAGAGCTTATATAAATCTAAGATAAAGAGACTCAATGTCTCCTTGGGGGGAAAATTAAGAAAACAAGCCACACCTCCAATATTTTCAAAGTGCTGGTACTTTATGAAAAGCCCTCCAGGCTGAGAAAAGAATAAAATAAAACCTTCCAAATTGCAGAACACAGTGTTTACAAAGGGACTTGAGCTGTAAATTGCACTCTGTAATTTATGTTAATACACTTAAAAGATTAAAGAAATTAGTCTTCAAAATGGCAAATCTCTTAACAGTTTATACTTAGAAAAAATAACTTCCAAGTGAAAAGAAAAGGGAACTATTCAATTAAGTATTAAAACCTTTGGGTAACAGGTAAATTTCACATTCTTATAAGAACAAAACAAATACTGTAGTGTAAGTAATCTTAAAAAATAAACTAGATTGTTAATACAAATTTAAACACTATTGTTGTTTTCAAATCTAAGCCCTTTCTTTGAAATATTTTTTGGATAGGAAAAGAGAAAAATCTAACTTTGGTTTAATGACTTAGAGGTTCCTGCTGAGTTACAAAATGAATATGCAGGCCAGGTCCAATAATATGCAAATTCACATCAGGTCAAAAATTGGTAGGCAAAAAGGCTTTAAGAAACTCTTTAGTACTAAGACTTTTTTTTTTTTTTTTTGGTACCAGGGATTGGACTCAGGACCTTGTGCTTGCCAGGCAGGTGCTATGCCGCTGAGCTAAATCCTTGGCCCAACACTTTTTTTTTTGGTACACTTATTTTGGTACTGGGGACCAAACTCAGGACCTTGCACTTGAGAGGCAGGCGGCAGAACCACTGAGCTAAATCCCCAGCCCTCCCTGATCCAATACTAAGACTTCTAATCAAGATTTGGAGAATTCTGTTACAGTTGTCTCTCAGTATCTGCAAGGGATTGGCTCCAAAACCCACCTTCGGATACTAAAAGCCAAAGATGCTCAAGTCCCTTACATAAAATGGAGTAGTATTTGTGTATAACATATTGTATTAGTCAACTTGCCTATTGCTGAGATAAAATACCTGACACCACAGTTAAAGAAGCAGAGGTTACATTTGGCTTACAGCATCAGTCCATGGTCAGCTGACTCTAAGGCAGAGCCATCATGGCAGAAGGGTATTGTGAAGGAAAGATGCTTAATTCATAGGGTCTGGGAACCCAAATGGGTTTGAATGAGCCAGAGAGGAAGGGGCCAGAAACCAAATATATTCCCCAAGGCCACTCTCCCATGACCCACTTCCTACTGGGGCCCACTTCCTAGTAGCCCATTCAGCTTTTGCATTGACAGGATCACCCACTAATGAGGTTAGTTTCCTCCCAATCCAGCCACCTCTCCTAACCAGCACACATGCACATCCTGCTGCTACTTAATACAATGTAAATGCTGTGGAACTAGTTGTTTACTATATTTTTAGGGAATAATGGCCAAAAACCAAAGTCTTTACATGTTCCGTTCAGACACAACTTTTTTCTGAGTATTTTCTTTTGTGTATGTGTGTGTATGTGTGCGCCCCTCTTCTAGATATTATCAATCTGCTGTTAGTGGAATCCAAGAATGTGGAACCTACATGTATGGAGGGCCTATATTGCTCTGTAAAATAAATACAAGCAAGTCCTTGAGCCGTGCTGTTCAGTGGCCTGTGGTTTTGGCCCAGGTGTTTCCTCCCAATCTGTGGATTGTGGGACTTCCTTTTGCTGCTCTGGCACATGACACCTTGACCCAGCTTATAAATTATTGGACAGGAAGAGATTCAGCACAGTCTTCACTGAATTCTGTTGGAAACTCCCAGTTTCCCTCATTTCTTTTCCAGAGTTCTTTTTTCTCTACAGGAATTTGGCTTTTGTTTAATTGTCTGTATAATCCATGGGTAAATGACAATGCGTACACCTAACACTGACAGTGTTCTTCAGCTTCCTGGTTTTAGTCTCTTCAAGAGTGTTTTCCCCTTACTTTATTGTGATCCACTTTTTTGTCACAAGTCAAGAGGAATGGGAAGGATACTGGCCTTCGTGAAGTACTCTGTCTGGATGCCAGGGTTAAATGCGCACTGTGACCCTTGGTGACCCACACTTACTGCAGACTATAAAATGCCAATGAGCAGCTGCTGAATGTTCAGGAGAAACACTGAGGTATATCTAAACTTCTAGAAAATATCTGGTGGTTCACGCTCCTGCTTCAAAAGAACACTTAAGTGTTTTCTAACTTGTGTACAAAACTGCTCAGTGAGTAGGAGCCCTCCTCCCCTCTCCTGCACACAACCACTTCAACCATAGAGCCCCCAAATGTTTCTCATTTTCTAAAGAAATACCTGGAATAATTTAGCTTTTTTAATTCTCAGTGAGAACTGTTGGCTTCTGCTGAGTTGGTATCTGGTATTTTAATTAGCTCAGCTTCCCTGTGGCATAGGCCAAGGACTTTTGTGGCCCTGCTCTGTGCTGTGGACCTCCTGGGAGCAATTACTGTTTCTGCTCAAGTAACTCTTAACCACAACCTTGGGAGCTGTAGTCCTCTGAATGTTGGTTTTGTTTGACCACAGATCCTACAGAATCCTAAATCTGCCTGCACCTCTGAGAAAGCTGCCTTCAGGAGGAAGAGCGTGTTCTGGGTATGAATGTGTATTTTGTGTGATCTTCCCAGTTGAGGAATTTATTTCAAATGTGAATGACAGGAGCCCTGACAGTTTGGGGCTGGGTGGAGCTGATTTGCTTTGAAATTAGCTGCTGTTTTGGAGTTTGCTGTGATTTGGAATTTAGGGTGGAAAGGGAAAATAAGGAAGTAAAAGCCATCAAATCTTGCCTGTGTACACCCTTTATCAGCTGGAGTTCCGCTTTAATCATCCCCCCCCCCCCCCGTATCTTGCAACAAAGTGCCTTTATCAGTTAGGAATTTAACAGGCCAAACTCTCAAATAAACAGATATAAATTAGAAAAGTAAATAAATACAAGGAAATTAAATGCTAGCACATGTACCCTTGACATTCTTCATCAAGTCAAACCCTTTGATAAAATAAACTGCACCCTATAAGGGTAAGAAGGTAGAAATAAATAAATTTCACCATGAAGTTTAATTAAAAGATGACTATTGGTCTTCTCTCCCTGATTCACCACAATGAAAAATAAATACGTAATATTTTAGTCCCCAAAAGACTTTTAATTTTTTAATGTTTGAAAAAGCTAAATGAAATGCAATTTCTGAATTTCCTGTTTACTACTTGCATTAATATTTAAGAATATATAAACATAAATGTGAATATTCAACTAGTTCAATTCTTTTCAAAAATCTGTATTTTATAAACTGGTTCTTGTATTGCTGGAACTTACATAATATTGCAAGTTATGTGCTTCTGCAGCTATTCCACTTATTAAAGTTGAATGTTTTCTTACCATATTTTTCTTTCTTTCTTTCTTTTTTTCCTTTGGTACCGGGGATCGAATTCAGGACCTCGCACTTGTGAGGCAGGCAGGGGCACCACTGAGTGAAATCCCTGGCCCCCTTACCATATTTTTCTAATAAACTCATAATCAACAATGATTGATGTTTACTATTAACAGTATATGTCTAAAATATGGAAATGATTCTGAATCATAAATGACATCTTAAGTTAATGTATTTTTCTGGAGACTTAAATTAAAATGCAGAGAAAATAAAGTATACAGTAACCACAAAATCCACAGGCAATTTTTGAACTTACATGTTATTTTCTATGTATAAGCACATTTGAAACATTCAAATTAAGAGGGTAAAATTAATCGATGCATCATTAATGTTGCTTTGCAGTATGGTTGATGACATCCGCTATGTTTTTCTTTTTCTTCTTCTGTTACCGGGGAATCAAACTCAGGACCTTATGCTTGCCAGGCAGGTGTGAAGCCACTGAGCTAAATCCCCGGTCCTTCCACTATGTTTTTCAAAACTAGATATTGTCATTTAGGCACATTACTTAGTGTGACTGTTAATCATGATATGTCAATTTGACTGGATTAGGAAATGCCTAGCGGATTGGTAAAGCACATTTCTGGGTATGCTTGTGGGCTGTTTCCAGAGATGACCGACATGTAGGACAGCAAACTGATGGTGTGGTGGGGGAGATTCACTCCGATAGTGGGTGGCATCAACTAATAGCCTTGCAGCCTAGATGGAATAAAAGGGAATGGAGGAAATTGGCACAGTTTTTGAAAGCTCCATTCTGCTTGAGTGGATGGATCTTTTGCTGCTGCTGTGGCCATCAGACTCCAGTTTCTTCAGCCTTCCAAAATAGACTCATGCCAGTGACTCTCTTGTGAGCTTCCAGGCCTTCAACCTCAGACTGGTGCTACATCCTTGTCCCTTCTTGTTCTGCAGCTTCCAAGTTCTTGAACTGAACAGCTACTGCATCCTCTGGCTCTTTAGCACACAGACAGCCATTGTGGACTCTCCAGGCTCTGATCCTGTAAGCCTACCTAATAAATCCCATTACATAATTATACACATATTTTCAGTCAATTCTCTTCTTCTAGAGAACCCTAATACATTTATTATTACTACATGTAAGTATTTGTTTACCTTGAGACAGGAATTTGCATTCAGACAACTTGTTTGGGAAGTGACCCTCAGCATAAGGCGGTGGAACAGGGAAGGAGGGAAACCAACACAAGGACGCATCATGGAATGGACCACTGCCACTGGGCACTGTTGTAACATTCTGAAGTGAGTCTCAGAACTGTCTCCCCACGGGACAAAAGGAAGCCATTTTTATCCTTTGACTCCTGTTGGCCATTGGTTGAGGGTTACCCAGTGGAATTTTTACTTCCCCACACTCCTGGGGAAGTTACACAGTTATGAATGTAAAGTTCATTCTCCCCGCATCCTGTGCCTCTGTATTAAAGGGAGGCAGGAGCAGGAGGCAGTGTCACCTGAGAAGTGTGACAACAGGAACTAGCATGGGACTCTCACTGCTGCTGGGTTGGGAGTGGTAGGTGGGGCTGAGAGATATTGACTTGTGTGTTGAATACAGGATATTTGAAACAAAGTGTATGTATGCATATTGAGGTATATTAAAGTTAATGATTTAAAAAACCACAAGTCTATTGCAAAGTTACTAATAAAATATGTATTAAAAATACCACAGGTGTTTGGCCATGCTCTCTGCTCTCAATATGAGATAATAAAAATTCTTCTGTATTTTCCACTTATGTTAGCAAAACTTACTGCTGTCCCTGAATCTGCACTCTTATAAGAAAATTCTGTTTGCATTTGTGTCAGTTCTCACTATGCTTTTGAGTACTTTATGAATGTAGAAAATTGTGAAAAAGAAAAAAGAAAGAAAATATCTAATATTCTTTTTGTTGATTTTTATGGATGAAACTTTGTGTCTCTTCAAATTCTTATGTTCAAATTCTAACCCCCAATGCCATGGTATTAGGCAGTTTGCCTTTAGTAGGTGATTAGGTCTTGAGAGTAGAGTCCTCATGAATAGGGTTATTGCCCTTTGCCCCTTCTGCCATTGAGGACACAACAAAATGACAGCCATATATAAGCCTGCAAGCAGGCCTTCACCAGAAACTGAATCTAATGGCACCTTGGACTTCCTAGTCTCCAGATCTGAGCAATAAATTTCTGTTGCTTATAAGCCACCCAGTTTATAGTATTTTCTTACAGCACCCTGAATGGATTAAGACACCAAGGAAGGAACTAAAATTTCTCATAGTGCTTATGTTATCTTATACTATGGCTATGATAAATATTGTTACTCTTGTTCCTGTAGGCCATTTCTGTTCTCAGGAACATTTACTCTCACTGATAATCAATAGATCTCCTTCAGCCTCTTTTTCAGATGTTCTCTGACTCCAAGGTAAGGCCTTATATTCAGAGCCTTTGGAGACTGACTAGGGTGGCCTTTCACCAAGACCATCTTTGGTACTCTCAAAAAGGTTGGGAGGCAGCACCAAGGGTTTCTCTCTCACCTGGTACAGGTAAACCACAGTTCTGCACCCACAGACACAGAAGGACTTCCAGGAAAGATTAGGCAGAATGCGCTAGAGTTTAAAGGAATTTGCCGCAGGCTTGTAAGAAATAAATGCCATTTAAGACTACAGTCTGGGAAAACTTTCTTTGACAAGAAGAACAACTTAACCCTCCCCTGGCTGGAGAGGATAATTTTATATATATTCTTATTGTTGATTTTATATAGTAAAGTGTTGGCCACATGATTACATTTTAATGTGTATATTAGCAAGCTTTCACACTGCTGGACACAATATCCAACATCCACAACTTAAATGGGAAAGCTTGTTAATATACACATTTGGCTTACTGTTTAAGGGGATTCAGTCCATGGTCAGCTCCTTCCAAAGCAGAAACATCATACTAGAAGTGTATGGTGGAGTAAAGTTGCTTAGTTCATGGTGGTTAGTAAGCAGTGCAGAGAAACGGTGCCAGAGAGAAAGGGGCAAGGGACCAGATAGAGACTCCATGACCTACCCTGGCACACACATAGCGTGCTCCACCAACCCTCAGAAAGATCTCAAAGCTAATGAAGTTGGCAAAACCAAGCTTATCTGTCACATTGTGTCTACACTCTTGAAGCATTCACAAGTGTGTTGATACTCTTTTGGCAAAGAGTTCTAAAAGGTTTCTAAAGACTCTTGTCTATTTTTTTTTTTTTTTGGTATGGGGATTGAACTCAGGACCTTTCGCTTGTGAGGCAGGAGCCGGAACCACTGAGCTAAATCCCCGGCCCTACTCTTGTCTATTGATAGTTGTAAAGTTTTATTGATTCATGTATGTCTTGATGGGTCACATCATTTGGAACCAGCAATGGTAGTAAAACTTCAAATGGAATTCTAAAATAGATAATCTGGTTAGTTTTTGAGCAGTCTGCCATCTGCAAGCTGGAGATCCAGAAGAGCTGGTGGTGTAATTCAGTCCAAATCTGAAGGTCTGAGAAGGAGGGTAGCCGATGGTGTAACTGCAATTTGTGGACAAAGGCTGGGAACCTCAAAAGGGGAGTTTGAGGGCAATGAGGAGTAGTGTAAGTCCTTGAGTCTGAAGTACAGGTAAAAAGGAACTCTCTTGTCAAAGACAGGAGATGGGTGTTCCAGCTCAAGGAGAAAGGGAGAGCTCCCCTAAAATGGTGAAGGCAGATCTTTTTCACTCATCTGTTGATTCAAATGCGAATCTCTTCAAGAAATACCCTCACAGGCACACCAAGAAATATGCTTTACCAGCTATCCCAGGATCCCAGGATCCTTTAGGCCAGTCAAATTGACGCTAAGATTAATAATCACACAGGTGCCAAAGCTTTCAATCTTGGAGCCTGTGCTGTGTTCTCATTGTAAGAAAGCACACCCCACCCATTTAACAGCTTTGTTTATGTTTCCCTTTAAAATGCAGGGGTCAATGACTTGCTTCTCTATTGAGGTCCAGAGAGGGTGTGGCAGCTTCCAGGAAACTCCTAGCTGTGTTACAATGCAGCATGCTGGTCTTCCACTACACTGACCTGCTGGTCAGTTGAACATCTATATTGAAAACAAAGCAATTTCGGGCTGGGAATGTAGCTCAGTGATGCTGCGCCTGTCTGGCTAGTGCAAAGTCCTGAGTTTGATCCCCAGTACTGCAAAAAAAAAAAAAAAAAAAAAAAGCAATTTGATTCCTTCAACAACTGTGTTCCCAAACCAATTCCAGGGAAACTGATGATCTGTATATATAACAAAGTATAAAAAGATGAAGATGTCATGTATATCAATTCCCCATGATAAATGTATTCATTATTATTGTAAATATATATTAATAAAAAATAAGTTTTAATCCCCAGTACCAAAAAAAAATGTTTAAAAAACCACCTGCTGTGCAAGCACAAGGACCCAAGTTTGATCCCCCCAAAAAACCAATAAGGCTTGTAAAGGATAACATCAGATAAATTCTTGAATTGATGTAGAGAAAATTTTCTTAAATGGTACACAATAAACAACCACAAAAGGAAAAAACTAAACTAAATTAAATTTAGTCATTTCTATTCCAATTAAAACACATCATTAAGAGAAAGTGAAAGGGCTGGGGATTTAGCTCAGTGGCACTGCACCTGCCTCACAAACACAAGGTCCTGAGTTCGATCCCAAGTATCAAAAAAA